TTAGGATCATGGAAACCCTGATGCAGAAATTCTGCCTGTCCGAGAAAAACCCTGCTTCTAGTGAATCTCGAGTATCACATAGTGATTCAATCATTGACGCCATCCATGAATTTAATTTTGATGGTGTAGCAGGTGTAACTTTCGAGTCGTGGTTTAAGAAGTATGAAGATTTGTTTTATATTGATCTTCGCAAACTGAATGATGCTTCAAAAGTCTGAATACTTCTGAGAAAACTTGGGACTATGGAACATGAACGCTATAGCGACTTCATTCTTCCGAAGAATACACGAGATTTTAGTTTTGATGAAATAGTTAAAGCCCTGTCCCAAATCTTCGGAGAACAATCATCTCTATTTAATATCCGTTATCAATGCTTGAGAATAACGAAAGAACCAGGAGATGACTGGGTGAAGCATGCAGGAATTGTGCCTAGTATTTATCTGTAGCCTGCGCTCATCCTAGTATGCTGATATCCGAACGAAAATCCTAAGCAAACTAGAACACTGCCCCAACGTGACACTGCAGGAAGCAGCTACTGAATGCCAAAGCTTAGTGAATCTGAAGCATGATTCCTTGATGGTAGAGAACGGCAACCGGTTTCATTATGTGCATGCAGTCGAGAAAAAAGTCCCGCAAGGTTCCAGCACTCATAATTATCATAATGAAAGCAACAAACCATCGTCCCCATGCTGGTTATGTGGCGGTTGGCACTTTAAAAGGTTTTGTCCGTTTAGAAAGCATCGTTGTACTGTGTGTTCCAGAAAAGGGCACAAAGAAAGCCATTGCAAAACCCGAAAACGCCGTCACCCGAAAATGTATTCTGAAAGGTTCAAACCACAAACAGCTAAAGTAACGGTAGCTCTTCACAAAACTGGTTCCCATAACCGTAGAAAGTATGTGTCTCTCAAGATTAATGGGTATGATGCCCGCTTGCAGTTAGATACAGCCTCTGACATAACGCTTATAAGCAGGAAAACGTGGGAGAAAATTGGGAGACCGAAAATATATTCAACTCATCAATTAGCACATAGTGCATCCGGGGGGATTCTAAATATAGCTGGTGAGATTCATTGTGAAGTCTCAGTCAAAGACTCCACGGAGAAGAGTATAATATTTCTGACAGACCGTCCATCACTCGATTTATTGAGGCTTGATTGGATAGAAAGGTTGAACTTAACACACCGCCCCATAAACTCAATCGCAACAACGTCAGTACGTCGAAAGATGATGAGAAAAACTCAGTGGATACATGCAAAAGAGCACTACTGAAAGGGGAAGGAGAGGGGACAAGTCACGTAATTACAAAATTCTTAACAGCTTATAGAACTACACCCAAGCCAATTGTCCCAGATGGGAGATCCCCTGCTGAAGCGACGTTCGGGAGAAGTATCCGAACCATATTATACGTCATGTTACCACCTAAACTAATGGATGGACGCAGACAAAATCAGAATATTCGTAGTTTTAACGTTGGTGATAAAGTGCTCGTCAAATCATACATTGGAAAAAATCGTTGGGAACCGGGAGTTACTGAGAAGAGAATGGGGAAAGTGCGTGGGACTTTCGGAGTGTGAATTAAACACATTAATCAAATACACATAGAGAAAAGAACTCTAGACAGAGTAGATAGTCAAGTGCGGCTTCCGCTAGATATAATTACACATACTCCAATGACAGGAACCCCAACAGATACTCATAGACGCCGGATACCCAGAAAGTCCGAACGCCGCAGGAAACCAGTTATAAAGCTGCAAGTAGACCCGAAGAAGAAGTATTATTTTTTGAAAGAGGGGAGGTGTTGGGGTGATCCAGAAACCGCTTGCAAAAGACAAGCAAGCATCAAGAAACACTAAGAAGTGTTTCGTCCAATCAGCGTTCATTTGGAGTCTTGGCCAGAAATATCAAGGTAGCGAAACGTCACATGCGGAAGCTCTGATTGGTTGGCTACTACAGTGCTACTATGTTTAGTAGCGTTCCAGAGTATTCCGGCGACCCAAGGACAGTTGGATATATTATAAAAACCCTATATTTTCTGTAATAAAAGGAACCTTGGAGTTAAGTATTTCCTCTCATACTTGCGTCTTCTCTCTGGTATTCAAGTCGCTGTGTAGTTCTAGCCTGTGGGTTACCAGAATAGCTTAGGAAACGAATATAGCGTTCAATCGACAAGACTTATCAGGCAGGACTAACACAGACCATCAAGCCTCCTATCCTTTCCAAACTGAAACAGATATTTTGATCTGCACATTTCTTAATTTGAGTGAATACATTTATCTGAGGATAGCAGAGTTTCTGGACACCAGTGGCTGTCATATTGCTATGCAGGAGGTTGAGTGGTTTCGAAGTAAAGTATATCAAAGTGATAATTCGAGTGCTATGAGAAGATAATTGTTTTGAGAAATAATAGACAAGTTAGTCATTCAACCGATAATGTAGACAATGTAAAAGCGAGAAATGTAGGGATGAAAAAGGAAGCGAGAATGATAACAAGTGATATAGAAAGTAGTTACTGATATGCGGTAAAGATAACAGTGGTAAATTACGAGACATGGGTCAGGCACAACCGGTCAAAGCGGAAGATGGTAATCCTCGAGTGATTACGTGTTCATCAAGTCTACTCTTGAAACTATCCACTGAATGGGCTTTGGTTACTTTCGCTAGGATAAAATTTAAAGTTCCGTCAACTGTTAATGAGGAAAAGTGCAAGCGTATCTGAATTTTCTCACTTTGGTTTGCAATGTTTCGTTAATTACATTGAGGAGAGTAATCGTGATGTTCTGGTAATATATTGGTGTTAGGGCTTTTTAAAGAGCTAATTGTTTTGTATACTTCAACTCTTATTCCCCCAAAACTCGGTGAGAATAAATCCAGTCGTCGAAGTCTGTCTTCGTAAGATTTACTCTTTAGACCTATCACACAATCAGCTGCTCGTGAAGGTGCTTCAGGTATTTGAAGTTTGACAGGGTCTTTGCACGTAGTGCCTTTATAATCGAAGTATGCCAATCCAGTCAAATCGGAAGTCAAAAGTAGGGAGGTTCGTAGATATATCTGAAAAGCTATCGATATATCAAGAAGCATTTAATATAAGTTGGTCGACGGTTGTAAGAGATGCGTAGCACGGAGTACCCACTCGTGATATGGTGAGTATGTAAGGTTGATTTGTTCAGTAAGACTTATGAAGTCAGCATTAATGTAGAGGGATTCCAGAGCTCTTTATTTTGAGGATTTACTTATCGCTACACCTGTCTCTGTACTTGGTGTAGGAGATTTATGTCTCTTTTGATGAGAGGTGGTGCGGCAACATTGTTGACTTCAAGGTGAGGCCGTGTGTACTTTCAAAGAGAGTGAGGAACACTTTTAGGTTTATTGCTATATTTGCCTTGGTTGCATCCTTTATGTAACTGGAGCTGGTATCTAGATTATCTGCAGTCATTAGATAGCGACAACGCTACGAGGAGACAATCGGTGGCACGTTTCTGTGGACAACGTCACTTCTTTGCGTCGAATGAGGCAGAATGTTCATGACACGATATTTCAACTGGTTGAGTTTCAGCTCCTGGTTTTCTACTGTCGGGGACGTTAGATCTCCAGAAGTCACTTGAAAAAGGACTTAATTTGTAATTTTATTTAGAAATTTTGATTTTTTTTGTTTTCGCGCCAAAGGCACTCTTCTCATCTTCATGTCGTATTTCCCACTGGGAAATATCTTAAATGCTAGTGGTCCGTTGCGTCTTTTAGTATGTTATTTGGTAACTCTCCCCAAGGACGGTTTTTTACTGTATGTATACTTTTTGAATTGTGTTTGTTGTTATCGCTCGATTCTGGCTGTTTTGTAGAATATACTTCCCATTCCAAGCTTGAACTTCTCCCTCTAGTTAGTGGGGCTGAGACGCATCAATATTTAGCTTCTTGGTCTTTGATCACCGAGTGTCGTTTGTCGTTCGCAGATTAAATGAACTCGTGATAGCACCAACTCTAGCGTCCATTCACTTTTCTATTGTTGTAAGGTCATTTTGAGGCTCAAGTGCATATATTTCACTTTCTACCGACCTCAAGATCTTTGTGTTGTCTGCACAGACAAGTGCCTTCGAGCTCATTTTATCTAACAGGTCATTTAATAAGATCAGGAATAGAAGTGGGCCTGAGATCGTTCGTTGTGAGACTCCTGATGTTGAGACCCTTCAAATTGTGTTCATTACACAAACTTTGGTACGAAACATTCAGTTCCCTAGGTAGTTTCGAAGCCAATATAGATGTGGGTCGGTGAAATCTATGTTTCTAACCTTTGCTATGAAAGTACATGAAGTGTTATGTTAAAGGCTTTTAAGAAGTCGAAGAATAATTCATGGCCCGGCATATTTGGGTTCAAGTAGGTTGTCCGGCTGTCCCACGTTATGAGGAGGTCGGGCTCATAGGATCTGTCTTTCCTAAACCTATGTTGAGCTTCGTGGAGGAAGTTGTTTTTATTCATGTATTCACTCATTAGTTTGTAGCGTGGCGTCGAGATGAGATTAACTATGAACACCGCTACAAAGAAACATGTGCCAGGTAAATCAGAAGGCGAGGGTTGAACGTAACCAAATAAATCCATAAAATCCCCGAGAAGCCAAATATCAGAAGACAGTTAATGGACCAAATCGGATATATTCGCTGGCGATCTCGTGGCATCCAAAGGATACCGAGATCGTGCTAGGATAGATGCTTGGTTACAGAACGTAACAGAATTCGCGGGCAAGGTTTAAACGTTAGGTCCTTTTGAAATGTGCCCGCCCTTTCGTTTCAACGACCTTGAACGGCTTGACTAGAGGCGGTCATTCCGTATTTCAATTGCCGTGGGTTGGTTGGATTGCATGAGTACCAAGTTTTTTCATATATAAGTCATGTTATGCTACATAAAAAAGCACGAAATAAATACCAAAACCATTAATTTAGCGTTCTCTGTTTTGTAGTGTACACGTTGGCTCTGTTGTTGCTTTGTAATTTGATCTTTGATCCCAACAACTGTAGTAAAGCTCAACGAAATGTCAAGTCACAGGTAAATCCTAAGTATTTGTAGTATTTTCTTGGGTTATTATTGTCGCAAGGAATAACCTTTTAATAATTAGTCATTTCTGTTTTTAGTGCTTCATGCTCAAGTGACATTTCAGTCGACCTAACCGATGCCTTTCGAAGTATGATACTGAACAAGCGTTTCGTCTTGTGGGATGATTTTGAAAGCGCCTTAAAAGAGTTCCAAAAAGTATGGAATTATAGTTTTATCGCTTCTCAGACTACTTATACTCGTTACATCCACACAGAGAGCAGATTGCTGAAGGATGTCAGGTTCAAATACCTGTTTGTATCGTTTAATTGTACGTTTGGTCATAAGAGGAAATCGGAAGGTTTGAAAGTGAGGCAAAAATCGTAAGATCTGTAACTAATATCTTATGTTTAAGGTCTAAATTCCGTAATTGTCAATCTAAATTTCGTGTAAGACTAGAGGAGCAAGGATATGTCATCAAATCCTACAACATGCTCCACAATCATCCATGTAGTAGTTCATGGATGGTATGTGATCCATTGACAAGGAGATTATCGTCAGAAGAAAAAGAGAACTTGAAGCCCGTAATACTTCACTGTGAGTCAGCAGATGAAGTTATCGAAAGCATTAAGGAGAGAACTGGTAAGCAAGTAACTGCTGCCGATGTCAAAGGGATGAAAGCTACCCTCTCCACTGGTAAGTGTATATAAATATATTTCAGGTCAAAGAATCCATAAGCAACGCATCATTGAGAAGTATGGTGAACGTTTTGCAACGGAAGTTGAGAAGAAGGTGGACAATTATTACTTAAGAATTCTTAATACCAACTTGTAAACTTGATTTTTTGCTTTAGCATCAATGATTATTCAATAAACTGTCATAATTTTTATTTTCATCTTATTCCTAGTTTCATGGGAATAAATAGCAATGACGTTCATGTGTAACTGTTTGTAATAATTAAGAATGATTCAGAAACCCTACATCCACGTACAATCTTGCAGATTAGGCACCCACATATCATATTCACCTTCGTCGGATTACGTTTATAATTAAAATCGTATCAGTAGCTAAGATTTTAATTCCATGTGATTAGTTCCGCTTATGAATTAAAATGAAACCAGGATAAATGTTGATTAACAGTGGTATGCATTCGTTATAACTAAATATGCATTAGGATTTAACAGTGATGTGGGAAACAGTTGACATACCTTAATATGAATAATTGAAATGACGTGGGTTATCAATAATGACTAGATATATATATATATATATGCAGTTTAAGGTCAAAGGTCATTTGTTTTTACAGTCAATAACACATTAAGAATGGGTGGTGTAATAGTTGACTGGAGTTCACAGACAGATAAGTGGTGTGAAAATCTTATGGCCTATAAGTGATCCGTGGATTTAAGAACTGAAAACTTGGGTCACGTAATAACTTATTACAATTTGAAGAGGTCACATAATTACAGAGGATTAAGTGAGCAGATGTAAGTGACAGGGTGCTGGAATAAATCGGCAACTAAATTTTAAAAGTGAAATGAATTAATACATAATCCATCTTATTACTTGTTCACTCCATGGATTATAAGGAGTTCATATTCTTCTATACCTATATTTGTTCTAGCGTCATATCGACTATTAATAAATACGGACACGGTTTATAAAGTAAGACAATAAGTGTAGTTGCTATATTTATATTTCACTAATTCATTAGTTGAATAAAAATGTTACTAGGCAATACGGAACACAGTTAACGTGAACATGTAAACCGTTTTTTAACAAATTCTGTAAGTTGTAGACCGGCGTAAACATCACAAACCTTTGACGACTTTATTGGATTCATACAATTCTGAAAAACAAACAAATCAGTTGTGAAATAAAGAATTAGACCCAGTTATAAGTATCACATTCAATAAGTACATCAAATAGCAGGTTACAGAATGTACCTATAAGTCTCTTATTTGCAGACAGCGCTAATCATTAGAGATTTCTATTTCCTTTAATAATAATTAATAGGTAATCTTTACAACACACAAATCAATGTTATTTAAAAATTGGCATAAACGAGATATGAATACAAGGAACTTGTGATTCTGCTTCCATTGCTCATTCACTTTTCGTCCCGTTGTCTGCATGAATTACTTCGGACGAGTCACTCTGTAATACAGTAGGAATTCATTAATTAACTCATGAATAGTTGTTTTTTATGCAAGTCTGTGTCGTAACAAGCACTGGGAATTTATTCAGTGTCTAACCCTTGTATTATTTCGTACATACATCTGGTATTAGCAAGAAAAATTGGTAAGTACCATTTAGATATTACTCGACAATATGCATCATAAGTTTGTTCACATTTTCGTCTGAGACTGTGCATTTCGTTTACAGAAAATTATTCGTCAACGCTATAACAGACACATCATGAATCAATATTAGGTACGACATGGTTTTGTCACCATGCTCAGAAGAGACAGCCATCGTTTCACTTATGAAGATTTTGTGCCTATTTAATGTGGTGTTATACACTGTTCCTGTATACGTTCAGAAAGCCGGTAAAAAAGACTATCAACATCAATTCTTACTCACATAATTTTTCTCTGATACGTTACACAATAATATGTCACTTCAATACCAAACAATGCTACCTTTAGTGCAAATAACCTTTTATGGCTAAATACAAACAATTTATATAATATCCATAGTTAGTTTAATGCTTACTTCTTTCTGATAACATCGTATAAACGACTGCGAACATCTATGTTTGCTGTCACCATAATCAAGGAGGTGAACCATATATAATGCTTTTCACGGCTTATATTCATGAAAAGTCAATCTGTTTTCTATTTTTCACTAGAAAAATGGTGATTTGACTTGTTTGACCTTGTATTATTAAAAAATAACCATATTACGCCAACTGCATGTTTACTTAGGTGGTGAGCACAAAATACGTCAAACTGCTTATAAATTGAAATAAATACTATCTTCCAATCACAAAGATTACGAGAAGTCACGTATGATGGAAAAAAGGCTGTTAATAGCTGATAAATAACGAAACATAAAATCCACGACAATATGTTACATGTGCGCGAAAACCCGTAAACTAACACACATAGTGTGCCGAATTCGCGCGAAGTTGCAATCAAAGTGTGTGTATAAGAATGGAAGCACAAAATAGCTGTCCTTAGCACAGTCAAACAAAAGCACATTAAAACAAACACTGGTACAGTTGGTTATAATAATAATTGTTTTTATTAAACCAGTCGTGTTCTCGTGATAAATGTGAGTCACTACAAGTTCATTGATCATTCCTTCCATTAACTTCGACAGTATCAGGAGTGATGCGATTGGTCTGTAATAGGTTGCACCTTCCCTATCTCCTCCTTCGAAGGTTGGGGAGAAGGTAGTCTATTCCCATACCCTTATTAATCGGTACGACTCTACTGAGTGCTTAAACATGTCACACACCAGTTCACTGGTGTTTTCTGTACACTGTTCCAGGATTATGGGTCGTATGTTATCAAATCCAGGTGATAGGATTTTAGTTTCCTTAATAATAGTTGGAAGTTTCTTAGGCCCTCAGCTGGCATTTACATGTTCCTGGCTTATTTGATCATTGAAGTTGGCACTAAGGATTTTCACCATCACTGTGTTAGTAAGATCCTTATCGTTAGGCCCTTTCAGAGAACATATCTCCTGGTTTGGAGGTCTACGTTTGTTCAAAAACACTTGGATGTCGTTTTAGTTAGATTGTATTTTGGCTGCTAACTTGGCTTGAAAATATCTCCAATCACTGCGGAATCCGATGTTGCATCTTCTTCCCAATGCAAAGTGATCGCTACCATCAAAATTATTGAGGGGGGTTTTCCGCTTGTCCCAGGCTCTTCATTTTTCCTGTGGCAAGCGTTCTTTGCCTAGTTCAACTTAAGACCTTCTTCCAGATGTGTCCTCTTCTGGAGGTATATTATGTGAGATATCATCCTGAATAATGTCTCTTATTATCTCACAGTGGTCAACCATTGTTAGTCTCTACCGCTTTTGTGGCTATGGAGCGTATTGAAGATGGTGCCTCATCGTTGTGTAACCTGGTTTAGTGTATCTAAGATGGGGAACATTCTCATTTCTCGGAGGTGCCTCGTTCGTGACTACGTTAAACATGACTGTGCCACCGTCTCTATTTCTTAGCCGTACGTGGATAAGGACATCCTCAACTAGAAGCTGATCATCTGTCATCAACTAATCCACGTTTGAGTGTTTTCTGTTCTGATCCCAAGTAGTTGAACCAACCAGTAAGTCCTGAACTTCTAATCGCTTCGATAGTTTACTTGTGGAACGACCGTGTAGCGGTTGTATTCTACTTCCTGAAATTTAGAAACGGTAAGTTGAAGTTTCCAGTTGGTAGTATTTGGTCCAACCCCAAGTTTGGTAGTTTTAATATCGCCTGGATTATCTTATATTTTTGAGTTCCACCGGATCACGCTAAAGAGAACTAGATCGATCATATTTGCATCAATTAACGATTCAGAAGGTCAGTGGAAGACGTAAGAACAGATAGGAGAGCTGGTATGGCTTCATAGCAGAAAAGCACTGAACAGTCGGAAAAACAGTAATATATGAGTTTGATACAGCCAATCTTCGAGATACTGAAAAACTCAACGAATTCAAGATAGCTCTCAGCAACGCGTTACAAGCCTTACAACATCTACTCAAAGAAGAGGAAACTGTCACGGGGCACAAATGAAAAGCAATTAAAGAAGCATTGACTTCAGTGTGCCAGGAGGTGCTGGGTCTCATGATGAACCATCAAAAAGAATAGATCTGTATCGATACCCTATCCATGATTCAAGAAAAATAGCAAGAAAACACCGGTTAACAACAGTTGAAAATGAGTGAAAAAAGTAATTACTGGGTACGTACACAAACCTAAACAAACTAGTGGTAAAGTGCATGAGAGCTGACAAGCAAAAATATCTAAAAGATCTATCGATGGCCACAGAGAGGACTTCGAGAGAAGAAAATACGAGACAACAATGTAAAGCAACGAAAAATCTACCGTGAAAATATAGTAAATCAGAGCGATCAATCAAGGACAAAGAGAGCAAGACAATAACTGAAATTCAAGAACTGCGGAGTAGGTATGTAGAACACTTTGTAGAACTCTCGAAAGGTTCATATCCACTAAACCTATCGGACATCGAAGCAGCACACTCATACCTACCCACAGATGTTATCTCATCAATAATCGAAGAAATCACCATGGCCATCAGACCAATCAAGAGTGCTAAATAGCAGAACCAAATAACATACTGGCTGAAGTACTGCATTCAGATATATAAGCAACTACAAAGGTGCTTCACATTCTCATCAGAAAGATTTGAGAAGAATAAGCATCATCAAACTGGAAAGGAGGATATCTCATCAAGATACTAAAGAAAGGAGGTCTGAGCAAATGTGAGAACTACACAGGCATCAAATTACTATCGGTACCAGGAAAAGTTTATAACATCGTACTGCTGAACTGGATGAAAAACTCAGCAAACGCACAACTTCCGTACGGATCGGTCGTGGACAGACCAAATTGTGACACTACGGATCACTGTTGAACAATAAATCGAATGAAACTCGTCACTATGCATCAACTGCCTTGACTATGAGAAGGCGTTTGACAACATGGATTGGAGAACCTGATGCACAATGATAATAAATGACCACTTTTGCAAAAAGATGATAAAATTTTGCAGTCTACGTGTATAGTTACGTGGTTAGAAGTAATCTGATGTAAATAAATCCATCTCAATAATCACTCTGTTTTTAAATAGATGGACGTGTAACATTCAGTCTTTTGTATGTTTGTATCTACCTTAAAGGTATGTATATATTGTGTG